CAAAAATTCTTCTAATTCAATTTAAATCAAGCCAGTCAAGGAAATTTCAGACTTATCCAAGTTTACACTTTAAGAAATCTAGCTTCCTGTGAAATGTGAGAGAAAGAGATTCAGTATTGATGCTATAGATTTCAGAAACCTGACTCTAACAACAGATCCATTCCTAAATAAGACCAGTTTTGGAATTAGTTCCATTTAAAACCATTACTATGTGCTAGACACTGGGAATAGGATAAAATCCGTTCTCTCCCAACAGCCCTGGTGGAGCAGCGGGTTAGTGCAGCCTGCAGCCCAGGGTGTGATCCTGGAGACCCTGGATGGAGTCCTGTGTAGGGCTCCCTGCATGGAGCCTGCTTCTCCCTCAGCCTGTGTCTCTGCCTGTCTCTCTGAATAAATAAATCCTTAAAAACAAAACAAAACAAACAAAACCTACGTTCTCCAGAGCTTGTGCCAGACCATAAACACGTACTAAACAGAAAGAGATTATAGAAAGGACAGTGAAGGAAGTAAACGGGGTGGTAGTTACAGTATTTCCAGAAAGTTTAACATGCTGACCTCAACATTTTAAGTGCCTTCTCCATGCGTGCACACGGGGTAGACCTCTGAGAAATGGTGGTTACTTGTTCTAGATTGACAGGTGTGTTGAGTGTAGGTGGGACGGGGAAGTTTTCCATACTAATGTAAACGGAGGGCTAGTCCCTTGGTTTCAGACTCTCATTCCCAGAATGAATTGCTCACCTCTCCCCTACCCCCATGCCCCCAAGCCCCTCCCACAGGAATTTGGAGCCATCACTGATTCAGTGGTAGGTAGCCTCCTCCTAACACAGTAGTGAATTAAAAATCAGACATGCGTATTGAGAACTTAGAGGAAATGGCAGCATTTCAGAGTAACTGTAAAGTGTGCTCCCCTCCCCACTGTCCCCGTGCTTATTCTTCACGTCAGCCTCTTTTCTTAGAAGCAGTATAGCCGGGGGGGGGGGGGGGGTGAGGAGGAATGTGTCTCGGATTTAAGCTTTGAAGAGGACAAGTTCGGTCCGCCAGAATTGGACTAGCATTTTGAATCCCCCGGGACGCCAGGTCTTCTGCTTCCTTGGGAAACTGCTCCACACCCCGACCCTTACACCTCAGAGCGGCTGGAGTCTGGGTCCATGCAGACTCCAGCAGCCCAAATCCTTCCCTGTAGCTCGGCGGGAGGTAGTGGTGGCCTTTGCAGGGGAAGGGAGGCTTGGCCTGGGGATTCTGGGGAAAAGGCTTGAACGAGGGGCTTCAGGCCCCAGCCGCACCCCAGCTGTGCCAAGCTAATAAAGGTGGCGTAAATAAAGGGTGGGACGTAGGCGGGGCAGGGGCGCGCAGTTGCTAACAATGGGGGCGTCACCGGGCTCCCTGAACATTTCGGTTTCTCTGGTGAGACCAAGCGCCCCACTGGCTTGGGTCTCTGCTCCCCAGAGTCTCCGAGTATCATGCCCCGGCTTTGCTTCTTCATTTTAATACTTCTCTTTACCTGGCAACCATTGTGGTTGTTGGGCCAGGCAGCTCCCCTTCCGGAGTGGGCCCGTCGGACCTCCGGCCTTCGGAGATCCCCGGAACCCAGGTCTTCCCACTCCTCTGACCTCCTGCATGAATCGCTCCAGGCACTTACCCCCCCCGCAGGGCCGGGGGGCTTTAATAACTTGAGGTCCTCTGCTCCAGCCCAGATATCGGCCCCGCCTAAGCAGTTGACTGAGACTTTGGTTCCATTCCTGGACACGGATTCAATTGGTGAGCTGCCCCCAGAGACAGATCAGTATCTGAATAACAAGCCAACCCTGCACAAAAGGCTCTTACAAGTGGTTCCAAGGTTAGGTGATGAGAATCAGGCCATAGTTCTGCCTCCTCCACTCAAAAATAAGATGAAAACTGGAGATGAGCCAGAAGATCACCAGTCATTGGAAATACTTATTCCACCTCTGGACAGTCAGAGTTTAAACCAAAGAAAGTTTCTTGTTTCATCCCCAAACCTGGACAAAGATCTAGTTCAGCATCGAAGGCTTGCCAAAGTTCTTCTTAGAACTCCAAACCAATTTGCAAATAAAGAGCTCCTAGAACAACTGCAGGACGATTATTCAGATTCTGGTATGGATATCATATATCCTGAGGAAAACCGACCAATGGATTTCCCAGGGGGACCAGATCAACCCCCAAAGCTCCCTGAGGAGCTTGAAATTTCTTCACTCCTGCAGGAGACCCCTGCAGGACCTCTCCAGTCAACTTTAGAAGAACCTGCACCTTTTCTGCTTGGGGTGGAGGCCCAGGCCAAGCATCCAGAGTCCCCTGAAGAGACAGAAACACCTCCACTTCTTCAGGATGCTCAATCTCAGCCTCCAGAGATCCTTAAGGAAGCTGGAAATTCTGTAGGCCCACAAGAGGCCCCAGCTGAACCTTCAAGTACCCCTGAAGTCCAACAGGAAGCCTCAGCTCAACCTACAGAGGCATCTGAGGAAGTAGAACCTTCGACCCCTCAGGAGACCCCAGCTCAGCCACCAGAGGAGGAGGTACCACCTCAGGAGGTAAATGTGCCGTCTCTGAGTCAGAATGAAGCTCAGCGGCCAAAATTACACAATGTCACTGTTAAACCTGTAGATTTGGCACTTACTGTAACTGTAACTCAGCCTCCACAGCACCCCGATAAGGCTGAGCCTTCTCCAGTCCCACAGGAGTTCCCAGCTCAGCCTGTAGAGCTCCCCGAGGGGGCTGGGCCTACTCTAGTCACACAGGAGGCCCCAGAACAGGCTGTAGAGCTCCCTGAGGAGGCTGGGCCTACTCTAGTCACACAGGAGGCCCCAGCTGAACCTGCACAGCTCCCTAATGAGGCAGAATCTTCAACCCAGCAAGAGAACCCAGGTCAATCTCCAGGGGAGATAGAATCTTCTGCAACCCTGCAAGAACAAGGATCTCAGCCACCAGAGCTGTCTCTGGGGGAGGTGGAACCTATTCCAACCCAGCAGGAACACCCAGCTCAACATCTAGAGCATCATGAGGTGAGAGTTGCACCTCCAGGTCACCATCAGGTTCAACATTTAAACCTGCCCAATATCACTGTTAAACCTGCAGACGTGCAGGTTACTGTAACACCAGAACCCACTACAGAGGTGGGACCTTTGCCAGTTCAGCATGAGTCTGTCGCTCAGCCCTCTGTGCCCCTTAATGTGGAACCTTTGGCAACCCAGCATGAAGCCCCAACTCTGCCTCCACAGTCCCCTGAGGAGATTGAACTTTTGCCATTTCAACAGGAGATTCCAACTGAGTCCCCAGAGTCTCCCACACAGGAGAAACCTCCAACACAGCAGGAGACCCCTGTTCAGACCCCTGGAGAGGTTAAACCTTCCACAACCCAGCAGGACACCCTGGCTCAGGATTCACAGGCCCCTGAGGAGGGTGAATCACCTTCAACCCAGGAGGAGGCCCTGGCTCAACTTCCAGGGACTCAGGAAGAGAAGGAACCTTCTCCACCCCAGCAGGAGGCCCCTGCTGAGCTTCCACAAATCCCTGAGGAGGGTGAACCTTCCTCCATACAGGAGGAGAGCCAGGGTCATCATGCACAGACTCCTGAGAAAGCTAAACCTTCTTCAACCCAGCAGGAGGTCCCAACCCAGTATCCACAGGCCTCCGAGGAGGGAGAACCATCTCCAACTCAGGAAGAGGCTCCCACTCAATTCCCACAGATTCATGCAAAGAGTGAATCTTTAACCCAGGAGGAAAGCCAGGGTCAGCATCCACAGACCTCTGAGGAGGTTGCACCTTCTCCAATCCAACAAGAAGCCCCAGCTAATCACCCACAGGCCTCCGAGGGGATCAAACCTCCTCTAACCCAGGAGGAGTCCCCAACTCAGCACCCTCAGACCCCAGAGGTGGGTGAGCCTTCTCCAACCCAAACAGAGACCCCAGCTAAGTATCCAGAGTCCCTTGAGGACATCGAACCTGTTCCGGCCCAGTCAGAGGCCACAGTTCAACATCCAAATCCCCTAGGGGAGGTTAAACCTTCTGCAACCCACCAGGAAGCCCCACATCAGCATCTACAGACCTATGAGGAAGTTAACCCTTCTGCCACTCAGCAAGAAGCCACAGCTCAGCATCCAGAACCTTCTGGTGAGGTTGAACCTTCTCCAACCCAGCAGGAGGTCCCAGCTCACTCTCCAGAGCATCATGTAGTAACAGTTTCTCCTCTAGGTCAGAGTCAAGCTGAGCTTTTACTCTTCCCCAGCGTCACTGTTAAACCTCTGGATCTGGCACTTATCATAACTCCAGAGTCCACTAATGAAGTTGAAACTGCTCTACCCCAACAAGAGGCCTCAGCTCAGTCTGCCATGTCCCCGGAACAGTTGGAACCTTCTGCAATCCAGCAGGAGTTTCCAGAACAACATCCAGCCCCTGCTGAAAATGTTGAACCTTCTCCAGTCCAGCAGGGAGTCCCAACACAGACTGGAGATCTTCCTGAGGAAACTGAACTTTCTCCAAGCCAGCAGTGGAACTCATCTCTGCCTCAGATGCCTGTTGTAGGTGTAAAACCTTCTCCAGTCCAGCCTGAGCACCAGGCTCAGCCTCCAGAGTCCTCTACAGATATTGTAGCTCAGCCTCCAGTACATCATGAGGTGACATTCTCATCTCTAGGTCCTGGTGAAGCTCAACCTCCAATGTTGCCCAATATCACAGTAAAACCTGTAGATCTGGAGGTTTTCATAACTCCGGCGCCCACTAAGTTTGAACAATCTCCAGGGCAGCAGGAGACCCCTGCTCAAGCTCCAGTTCCCCCTGAGCAGGTTGAATTTTCTCCAGCCCAGTCCAAGCTTCATTTCCAGTCTCCAGAGACCCCTGAAGATGAATTTCCTCCAGGCCAACAAGAACTCATAGTTCAGACAAAAGACCCTCCTAAGGAGGTTGAAACTTCAACCATGCAAGAGACTCCAGGTCCTCCTTTAGAGCCACCTGAGGAGTTTGTAGTTCAGCCTCCCATGTATCGGGAGATGACAGTTCCAACTCCAGGTCAGGATCAAGCTCGGCATCTATTGTTACCCAATGTAACGGTTCAGCCTTTGGACTTGGAGCTTACCATAACTCCAGAACCCACCACGAAAGTTGAACATTCTAAAACCGTGAAAAAAACTACTGCTCCTCCAAAGGACCTGGAAGTGACATTTGCACATCAAGAGCAGGTTCAAGCTCAGCATCCAATCTTGACTGAAGTCACAGTTCAGCCTTTGGACCTGGGGCGTACCATAACTCCAGAATTTACTAAGGAGATTGAACTTCCTCAACCTATGCAGGAGACTCCAATGCAGCTTCCAGAGCCACCTAAGGAGGTTACTGTAGCTCAATCTCCAGTATATCAGGAGGAGACCATTCCAACACCAGGTCGGAATCAAACTCAGTATCCATCATCACCCAATGTAACAGTTCAACCTTTGGACCTGGAGCTTACTGTAAGTCCAGAAGCCACTACAGAAGTTGAACATTCTACAGCCCTGAAAAAGACTACAGCTCCTCCAAAAGACCTGGAGGTGACATTTGCACATCTCGAGCAGGTTCTGTCTCACCGTCCAAACTTGACTAAGGTCACAGGTCAAGCTTTGGACCTGGAACTTACCATAACTCCAGAATCCACTACAGAGATTGAACCTTCTCCAGCCATGCATCTAGAGCTGCCTAAGGAACTTGTAGCTCAACCTTCCATATATCAAGAGGCAGCAGTTCCAACGTCAGCTCAGGATCAAGCTCAGCACCTGTGGTCACCAAATGTGACAACACAACCTTTGGCCCTGGAGCTTACCATAACTCTGAAACCCACTACAGAGGTTGAACAGTCTACAACTGTGCATCAGACTACAGCTCCTCCAAAGAACCTTGAGGTGACATTTCCACCATCAGAGCAGGTTCAGGTTCAGCATTCAACCTTAAATAAAGTCACAGTTAAACCTTTGGACTTGGGGCTTACCATAACTCCAGAACCTACTACAGAGATCAAACCTTCTCCAACCATGCAAGAGACCCCAACTCAACCTCCAGAGCCACCTAAGGAGGTTGTAGTTCAATATCCATTCCATCAGAAGGGGGCAGTTCCAACCCTAGGTCAGGCTCAGGCTCCGTATCCAACTTCACCCAGTGTCACAGTTCATCCTGTGGACATGGGACGTACCATAACTCCAGAACCTACTACCCAGGTTGAACGTTTTACAACCACCCAGACTACAACTCCCCCTCCAAAGGACCTTGAGATGACGCTTGCGGATCTAGAGCAGAATCAGAGTCAACATCCAAACCTGACTGAAGTCACTGTTCCACCTATGGACCTGGAAATTACTGTAACTGCAGGATCCAATATGGAAGTTGAACCTTCTCCAGCCATGCAAGAGACCCCAACTCAGCCTCCAGAGCCACCTAAGGAGGTTGTAGTTCAATATCCATTTCATCAGGAAGTGATGATTCCAACTCCAAGTAAGGGTGAAGGCCAGCATCCAGAATCACCCAGCATCACATTTCATCATGTGGGCTTGGGGCTTACCATTATTCCAGAACCTATTACAGAGGCTAAACATTCTGCAACCACGAAGAAGACTACAGCTCCTTATCCAGCGGACCTTGAGGTGACACTTGCACATTCAGAGCGTGTTCAGAGTCAACAGCCAAACCTGACTGAAGTCACTGTTCCTGTTCCTCCTATGGACTTGGAAATTACTGTAAGTCACCAACTAGAGTCATCTGAGTCGGTTCTCCCCCCAACGACTCAGCACTCAGTGGTGCATTTTCCAAAATACTTCCCAGAAAAGGCATATACAACTTTAACTGAGCAGCCAGAACAGAATGTTACCACAAACGTCAACATATGTGAGCTCTGTACCTGCAAAGATGAGATGCTGTCGTGTAGTGGTTTCAGCCCAAAGCAGAGGCTCCGCAGAGTGCCTGTGCCAGAGCCCAACATGGACAACAACACCTTTACCATCTTGTAAGAATTGCCTTTTCTCATTTGTTCCCTGCCTCCTGCTTGACACAGCAGCCTTTCTTTGAGGTCTTCCTGGGCCTTCGTCATCTCCCCAACCATGTTGACTGACTCTCTCTTTTTACCTTTTCTTTGCCAACTGTCCTTATCTTCATTTTCCTGTTTGCTGTGGTTCCCACGTCTGCACCCGTTTCCTTGTAATTGTCCTTATTCTTTATCCAGTTTTTTTAGCCCCATGATTTCATCCCTTAACCTCTACTCTCCCATCTTTATAGCAACATGTCCCTCTTTCCATCTCCTTGGTGATATACAAAAAAGTGGTTAAGAGCAGAGATTCTGGAATTAGACTGCCTGGGTTTGAATTGAGTTCTGTCACTTATTAGCTTTTGATTCAATTTCCTTATCTATAAAATGGGATAATAGTTACTGCCTTGTGGGATTATTGTGAGATTTGGTGAGTTAATACATATAAAACACGTTTTCAGTGCCTCGCATATATGTGAGTGTTAGCTATTATTTGATTCCTCAGCTATGTTTAGAACTCATCTTTGTCCCTTGGTTTTCTATATACAGCACCTATTTTGTGCCCAGCCCAGGACTCAGTACTGTGGCAGCCATGCAAGTATGGCATTGTCTTTAGAATATGAAATAAGAGGTGGGAAGAAAGGAAATAGGCATAGAAAGACAGGTGACCTATAATTAAGTACAGACTATAGGTGCTGTAAGTCACCAGAATCTGTAATCAATGGAGTGTAGGGGTCAGAGAAAGCTGCATGGATAAGCTAAAACTTCGGTTGAGATTTAGAGTGGCTATGATTTGTTAAATACAGCAAGAATAGGGAGTATAGTCTAAGCAAAGGCACAGCTGCAAGAATGATCAGGAATTAAGAATTAGCTTAGAAAAAAAAAAGAATTAGCTTAGGAGGGCAGCCCCAGTAGCTCAGCGATTTAACGCCGCGTTCAGCCCAAGGCGTGATCCTGGAGACCCGGGATTGAGTCCCACATCAGCTCCCTCCATGGAGCCTGCTTCTCCATCTGCCTGTGTCTCTGCCGCTCTCTCTCTCTCTCTCTCTCTCTCTCTCTCTCTGTCCCTGTCTCTCTCTGTCTCTCATGAATAAATAACACCTTAAAAAATGAATAGGTAAGTTGTTGCTGAGGGAAGAAGATAAGTTAAAGGTAAGATTCAGTCATATACGGAATTAGTGATTAAAACTGAACTCAGGCATTTCATAGCTTCTTTGAAATACTTGCAATTCATGGATACATTCTCATTTTTTTAATGTCACAAGCATATAGGATAAAATGTGAAAATCCCACCCAAACCCCCCTACCACCCATAAGATAACTCCTGTTAACATTTTGGTGTCTGTCCTTCCCATCACTTTCCTTTGCAATTTTTCCCCTAATCATTAGGTAATACTTTTTATTGCTTGCTCAGTGATTTGTTGCTTTTCCCTATGTAACATGTCTAAGAAATCTCTCCATATTAGTTCCTCTCATTTCTAACTTCTCCTAACAGCTGGAGAGATTTCAAAAGAAGTCACTGGGCCAAAGCTTTGGTGTTCCTGGCATAGGATTTCTTTACCTTTGTTTCCTGGCATAGGATTTCTTTACCTTTGTTTTTTTTTTTTTTTACCTTTGTTTGATACTTTTTTTGCCATTTTTCTGTTGAATTATTTTCTCATTGATTTACAGAAAGAACCATTTTAGACACATAGAGGTGATTTGGAGAAAAATACCCATATTCATAAAGTAATTAACTGGCATTATCTATCCAAGAAATTAGACAAATAGAAAGTTCCGGTTCTAAGGAGATGGCTTGTTGACACCAATGGCCCCACATTTCCTTATTAATTGTGCAAACTGGGATGCTGATAGCTATGGATATTAAGAAGCTGGTATTTTCTGCATTTGCATATTCCCCCAAGGTTGCCAATGATTCTTTTACTTATTCTGTTCATTCTTTTCCTAACTAGTCAAGGATCTGAACTGTGTTTCTCTTCACAGAAATTTCCAAGGAAACTCTATTTCTTACATTGAGGAAAATACATGGAAGGCATACCGTTGGACTGAGAAATTGTGAGTATATTTTCTCCAAATACGAATACAAAAAACTGCATCCTAAGATCCTTCTTAGTCAAGAATTTTGAAGTCAGTATCTTGGAGGAAAGGTATTTCCCCCTCCATATCCCAAATCAACCTCTATTGATGGCAATTCTATGTTTATCTTGAAAATTGAATTTGACATGCTCTCTTTAAAATTTAGCGTCAATATAAACTTATTTTCCATTATATAGGAATACATGATTATATCCTCAATATATAAAAATGAAAGAATAGATAAAGTGAACATCTTCTTTGTGTTCTGATCCCCTACCACTGAGATAGCCACTACTCCTCTGGATTTAGTATATATCCTTGCAGATCTTTTTCCATGCATTTGTCTACATACATATTTATAGACAACAAAATAGGTTTGTTGTGGGATTTTCTTACCTTGTTTTTGTTTTTACATAAATGATAACTTCCTACAACTTGATTCTTTTGCTTATGCTTATGCTTATAAATTAAGCTTTTGATTCTTTTATCTTATGTCTTAGATTTCTTTTCTTTTAGTACATAGATAGGGGGTTACCCCATTCATGTATATGCCTGTGTAATATATTCCAAAGTATGAATGTATATAGTAATTCTCCTATTGATGAATGTTTAGACTGTGTCCCATATTCTTGTCACATGCGCTCCTGTAGTGAACTGCCTCAACCATGCATCTTTGTGTATGTGCGCAGGTATTTCTGTAGAATAGATATCTAGAAATGGAATTGTTTGAATAAAGACTATGTAGATGTAAAATTTTAATTGCCCTCAAAAAAGTTGTGCCAACTTAAACTCCAACCCATAGATCATGACAGCATTCACATCCTCATACCACCCACTACTGGATATTCTCCATTTCTTGACTGATCTGATGGGTGAATAAAAGGGGTCCCATGTGAATTTGAGGTTTTCTGATTACTTGTAAATTTAAATACCTATGTTTACTGAACATTTGTATTTCTTGAGTGAATTTTCTGTCCTTTGCCAATTTTCTGTTATCTTTTTAAAAAAATGATCTGTAGAAAAAGTCAATGTAGACACAAGTGTTTTTAGAAAAAAAATATTACAATCAAAGCAATTAACTGGTGTTTTATGAGAGTTTTGTGTCATATCATTAGTGAAACTTGAGCAGAGAAGTCATAAATGACTCCTGAATTAACAATAAAAGACATAGTAATCATAGCAATCTAAAAATAGGGATTATGATCCCTCTAAAGTAGATTTCACCCCTCAGTCTGATATCTTATTGGTAAGGGAGAAATGCTAGAACTAGGCATTTGTTTTTTATTTTGTGAATTTCTTAAATACTATGTGTAGTTTATATTTCTCCATGATAGTGTCTGACTGGGAGATTTTATTTCCCAAACTTATAAGAAAACTGAAAATAATTGTCACAAGAAATAAATAACGTTAGTTTTCTTTAGGGAATGGAGGGGGATGGGTGGGCTGAGGACAAGGGTAGGAGAAAAACTTGGCGTTGTGTACTATATACCTTTGGAATTTTGGGCCATGTGAATATATATTACATATTTTTTAAAAGTGCATTGAAATTAAAAAATTAATTTTTAAAAAGCATGTGTTTGGGAATTTATACACTAGAACATGAATGCGGTAAGTCCTGCAGATGTCTGGTTCAGCTTGAGGGTTATACCTTGTAAGCAGAGGTTCCTAACTATGGATCACTGCTCTCCTGGGGCAGGATTTTAACCTGTTTTTCTATATATATCTATTGGATGATATCTGCCAACAGTAGAATGAATAAAGTGTGGTATAGTCATAAAATGGAACACTATTTGTTTGAACCATAAAGCCACATAAGTAATCTCAAATTTTCTGATAGCCGCTTAAAAATTAAAAGTAAAAAGAGAGAGATGACATAAATGTTAATATATTTTGTTTAGCTCTTATAGCCAAAATATTATTTTGACATATAATTATTATACCCATTATTAGTAAGATAGTCTATGTTGTATACTGTCTTCAAAATGCCTGTGCCTGTGTCGATATCATTTCTACATGTAATCAGTATAAAAATTATTGAGAGTTTATGTTCTTTTTTCCATAGTAACTCTGAAATCACAATTTGATTGCTAGTCTTTTATCAAGAATACTTGATCTGTATTTAGATTTCATAAAAATTACAGTTAAAAAAGTAATATCACATACCTACATTGTTGCAAACATATTTAAACATTTTCTAATAACTGTTGAGTATCAGTTTTTTCATTTGTATTTTAAAGTAAATAAAATTAATTAAATTAAAAATTCAGCTCCTCAGTCACACTAGCCACTCCCAAGTATTCAGTAGCCACATGCAGCTAGACATGCAATACTAGGTATTGAAATGAACCAACCTCAGCTACATGCAACAATATAATGAATTTATAAGAAATATTGAGTGAAAGAAGCAACATAGAAAATAATACCTGTGATTCCATTTATATAAAGTTCAAGAAGCGACAAAACTAAATTATGTTGTTTATGGCTGACATATGATAGGCAAAACTACATTTAAAAAAGCAAGGAAAAAAATAAAAAAGCAAGGAAATTAGAGGTCCCTGGGTGGTTCAGTCAGTTAAGTGTCCAACTCTTGACTGGGCTCAGGTCATGATCTCAGGGTCATGGGATAGGGCTCCACACTCAGCCAGGAGTCTGCTGGAGATTCTTTCTCTCCCTCTGCCCCTCTCCCATCAATTAATCTTTTTTAAAAATTAAAAAAGGCAAAGAAATTATTAAAGTCAGGATAATGGTTACTTCTGGGGAATCAGAGAGGGTTGTGATTGGAAGGGGCACACTGAAGCCTTCTGGGATGCTGGCAGGGGTTTTTCTTGATACAAGTGGTATTTCATGGGTATTTGCTTTATAATTATTAAACTGAATATGTTATGTACACTTGATGTGCATTTTTTTAGTTCTCAAAAACTTTTTTTTTTTTGGTTGGGGAAAAAAAAATCAAATGACTTTACCTATAGTGCTGTATGGGGCTTCCAACATAGAATTTAGAAAAAGAGAGGAGGAAATGTCAGTTCTGCCAGTATTATTGTCATCTAAACCAGGGTTCTAGCAGAGACTTTGTGATCCAGAGAGTAGGCATTAAATATGCATTTTGGTTCAAATAGTGGATGGATGCATGTGTGTGTGTGTGTGTGTGTGTGTGTGTGTGTGTGTGAGAGAGAGAGAGAGAGAGAGAGAGAGAGAGAGAGAACAAAAAAGGATTTGAGTGAAAACAGCACAGAGCTCAGTACTCCTAAATTAAAGAAGAATTAGTATATTTAGGTGGCACCATTACACAGGTTTCCCTCCCAGATGGGAGTTAGTCCTGTGTAGTAAATAGTTGTAGTTGTTTTGCATTTTGATGCAGAAATAACCTTTTCATTTTTCAGAATTCTCAGTGAAAATTACTTGAGTGAATTACATAAGGACTCATTTGAAGGCCTGCTATCCCTACAGTATTTGTAAGTTAATTAATCACTTATTATGTGTTTTTAGTTATATTATCTGTAAAATAAATATGGGGTTCAAATTAGATAATCACTACAATTTCTTCTAACAATAAAATTCCATCTCTAGCATTAAATATCTCATATGCATTTTCAGTTTTTTAATTCTATAGACAAGATAAAGATAGAAAAAGACCCTTCAGTTATAGAGCAAAAGGAGTAATTAGGTCTGAGCAATTATGGATGCACATATTAACCTGTTTTGTAAGTGTTCATATACCGTGTGCTTACATTTATACTTAGTTTATGGCTCATGGATCAAATCATGCTCAGGTTTGTCTTTACACAGCCTATGAGTTAAGAATGATTTTTACATTCTTAAAGGGCTTTAAAAGAGAAAAGAAGAGAAAGAGAAGAATATATGACAGAGACCATATATGGCCTGCAAAGCCCAAAATGTTTACTATCTGGCCTTTACAGAAAAGGTTTGAAAAAGTTGGTTTAGAAAAATGAGAGGAATTAAAATTAACCTCAAATTGTCACCTACAGGACAAGATAATATAGAACACTTACATTATTTTCAATGCCATTAACCCAGAATGTTTTTAATAATTTAATCTAAATTAAACATTTAAATATTAAATATTTAAGCAGGTGAATTATGTAAGCAGTATTATCAAGTACCTATTAAGTTACCAAGAGAGCAGATTAAGGATTTCAGTGGGAATTCTAGCACCAGTATTAAAAATAGATGTTTAAAATGATGGTTAAGGGGTACCTGGCTGGCTCAGTTGATAGAGCAAGTGACTTTGGATCTTGAGGTTGTGGGTTTGAAACCCACATTGGGTATAGAGATTACTTAAGGAAATAAAATCTTTAAAGTAAAATAAAATGATGGTTAAGTGGTATGGTTAGAAATGTTTACATTAAGCAAACATATCAGAAATGCCCCTAATTTCAATAATTATAAAATAAAATCTCCCCAGCCTTATTGTCAAGGAGGAAATGCTTCTTTAGTATTTCTAGGTATACATACAGAGATACCATGTTCTTTGCTATAAAGGTTCAATTTTTATCTTTGTCTGTGGCATCCAGAGCTGTGTAAGTCATTAATCCCTATTAATGATGCTCTTGAGCAAATAGAGTCTTCTTGCAAATGTAGAAGGTTTAAGGATAGTGGGTAAAAAAGAGCATGATATGACACTAAGAATAGTCCTTTAAGTTGTCAAACCTTCCAAGTCTTAGGGGACAGCCACTCTTGTATTGGTTTTCTTGGCTGCTTCTGCCATCTGGACTCTATAAACTTTACAGACACTGTTTGGAGAAAATCAAATGAGATAAACTGCTCAAAGGATTAGGCACTTCGTTACTACTACCATGAAATACTTTGTAAGCCAATTATTTTATGTTAGCTGAAGTGTTCTCATTCATTTAAAAAAAAAAGGTCAATCCAAAGCTAATATGACAGGCACTATGCCCAGTATCATAGGCACTCAGATGATTAAGACAGGCTTCCTACCCCTGTAGGAACTCATGATCTCACAAGGAAAATAGAAGCTCAAACCACAATGCATAAAGCACTAAGTGGATGACAAAGTGCTGAAGAGGTGCAGAAGAGGGAGCCATAAAGTCATAAAACCACATTTCTTTTTACACAGTCATTTTGTTTCTGCTATTCACTAGCCAGCTCTTTATATTTATTTTATAAATATTTGAGTTTGTTTCATGTCCATGTGTCAATTTTATTTTTTTAATAATAAATTATTTTTTATTGGTGTTCAATTTACCAACATGCAGAATAACACCCAGTGCTCATCCCGTCAAGTGTCCCCCTCAGTGCCCGTCACCCACTCATCCCCACCCCCGCCCTCCTCCCCTTCCACCACCCCTAGTTCGTTTCCCAGAGTCAGGAGTCTTTATGTTCTGTCTCCCTTTCTGATATTTCCCACACATTTCTTCTCCCTTCCCTTATATTCCCTTTCACTATTATTCATATTCCCCAAAAGAATGAGAACATACACTATTTGTCCTTCTCCGATTGACTTACTTCACTCAGCATAATACCCTCCAGTTCCATCCACGTTGAAGCAAATGGTGGGTATTTGTCGTTTCTAATGGCTGAGAAATATTCCATTGTATACATACACCACATCTTCTTGATCCATTCATCTTTCGATGGACACCGAGGCTCCTTCCACACTTTGGCTATTGTGGACATGGCTGCTATAAACATCGGGGTGCAGGTGTCCCAGCGTTTCATTGCATCTGAATCTCTGGGGTAAATCCCCAACAGTGCAATTGCTGGGTCATAGGGCAGGTCTATTTTTAACTCTTTGAGGAACCTCCACACAGTCTTCCAGAGTGGCTGCACCAGTTCACATTCCCACCAACAGTGTAAGAGGGTTCCCTTTTCTCCGCATCCTCTCCAACATTTGTTGTTTCCTGCCTTGTTAATTTCCCCCATTCTCACTGGTGTGAGGTGGTATCTCATTGTGGTTTTGATTTGTATTTCCCTGATGGCCAGTGATGCAGAGCATTTTCTCATGTGCGTGTTGGCCATGTCTATGTCTTCCTCTGTGAGATTCCTTTTTTTTAATTTATTTATTTATGATAGTCACAGAGAGAGAGAGAGAGAGAGAGAGAGAGGCAGAGACATAGGCAGAGGGAGAAGCAGGCTCCATGCACCGGGAACCCGATATGGGATTCGATCCCGGATCTCCAGGATCGCGCCCTGAGCCAAAGGCAGGCACCAAACCGCTGCGCCACCCAGGGATCCCCCTCTGTGAGATTTCTGTTCATGTCTTTTGCCCATTTCATGATTGGATAGTTTGTTTCTTTGATGCAAATGACGTATCAGATAAAGGCTAGTTTCCAAGATCTATAAAGAACTTATTAAACTCAACACCAAAGAAACATGTGTCAGTTTTAAACATGGTAGACAATGCAGATGAACACAACTAGTCCATACTTTCAAGCATTTTATGCTCAGAGGGAAAAGGATGCAAAAATAACTATATTAAAAATAAATTGGAATGCCTGGCTGGCTGAGTTGGTAGAGCATGTGGCTCTTGATCTCAGGGTCATGAGTTCAAGCCCTAGTTTGGGCGTGAAGCCTACTTTAAATTTTTTTCAAAAGAAGAAGAAGAAATGGATATGGGCAATGAGAGGTATAAATTGGTTTTGGAATACAGATGAGGGAGAAAAGACTTCACATTGGATCAGGGAAGCTATTAGAGCAATGCTGTTTCAACAGGACCTTGAAGAGCTATTGGGTATCATCAGAAAGACATTGTAGGGAGAATAAGCTTACAAAGGAGACTGGGAGAAAGGCAAAATACAGGAAAAATATCTTGAGTACCTGTAGAGTAGGAGATTAGAGCTAGTCTTCTAGGATTTTGAAGGCCGTGGATTAACATGCCACACTACTGGATTATCACAGCAGTGCTCCGGGACAAGCTTTAAACTGCAATAGAAAAATAAATAAATAAATAAACTGCAACAGAGTCACTTGGAGGGCTTGTCAGAAAATAAGCTCCACCTCCACAGTTACTGATTCCATTAGTCTATAGAGTAAGGCTGAGAATTTGCATCTTGAGTAAGTGCCCAAGTGATTCTGGCATTTGAGAACCACTTGTGGAGAATTAGTCTGGTGACTGTGTGCAGGATGGATTAGAAAGGGAAAGACTAGAGATGGCAATGCCAGTCTGAAGAGTAGGTGGAAAATGAGGGACTAAGCTGGGATCAATGGAAGTATGAGGGTCAAGTATTATCAAGAATGGGTGTTTTCAAATAAAGATCCAGTACTATGTGGTGTTTTTTGTTGTCTCACCACTTGCAACTGAAGCAATTAATAAATTCATGGAATATTAAGGCAAATGTACAACCAAAAATGAATTTCTATTAACATGATGGTATGATTCTGAGTTAGTTTAAATTTATGTATTGATTAGAGGGGTAACTTCCTTTCAATTTAAATGAAAGGATATCTTTTATTTTTTCTGGTATTGAATTGGCCTAGAAAAATAGAACTAAACCAAGAAGGTGTTCCAAAATGAGAATATCCCTTTTAATATTAGAAATTATAATTATAGGGGTGCCCGATTGGTGCAGTTGGCTGAGCATCTGACTCTTGGTTTTGGCTCAGGTCACAATCTCTGGATCCTGAAATGGAGCCCCCTGTTGGGCTCTGCACTCAGTGAGGAGTCTGCTTGGGATTCTCTCTCCCTCTCCCTCTGCTCCTCCCACTTGCGCATGTGCACGCACACACACTCTCTAATAAATAAATATTTTTTAAAAAGAAATTATAGGGGCAGCCCGAGTGGCTCACCAGTTTAGTGCCACCTTCAGCCCGGGGTGTGATCCTGGAGACCCTGGATCCAGTCCCATGTCAGGCTCCCTGCATGGAGCTGCTTCTCCCTCTGCCTGTGTCTCTGCCTTTCATTCTCTCTGTGTGTCTATATGAATAAACAAATAAAATCTTTTAAAAAATAAAGAAAGAAATTCTATGTGGAGGTCAAAACTTTGAGCTCATAATCTAGAAATTGATGAGGCCTCAAATGTCCTCTAATCAATTCTTCTGCTCTCAGGAAAGATTACTTCCAGAATCTATCAAGAGCTGTAGTTACTTGTTTCATTTATGAAAATGAGACTCTTTTAAGAGAGATGAGGAGAGCTGGGGGCTCTGGAAGGTTCAAATAACAAATCCTTAAGTTCAGAGTTTAGGCAAAGGCTACTTATTCAATACTATCAGCCTACTAATTAGGTATCTAATAGCTAATTGAGGCAATATTTTCCTTTTACTTTTCCTAGAGATTTATCCTGCAATAAGATACAATCTATTGAAAGACGTACATTTGAACCACTACCTTTTTTGAAGTTTATGTAAGTTACAAATATAATTTCATTATATTTGGAATTTTTGTTAAACTTAAGTGTAAACCTCTTTGTTACAATCATTTTGAAATATGATTGTAATTTTATTAGTAGAAAGCTACTAAAATTATGTAGCGAATCTTTTTTGTCTGTAGCAAAGATTAGTGTAAGAATTATTATACAGATCAGACTGAATCATTCTAGAGCAGTGGTTCTCAACTAGGGTGATTTTGCACCCAGGTGACATTTGGAAGTGTCTGGAGACATTTTTGGTTGTCAGACTGTAGATGTGCTACTGGCATCTAGTGGGCAGAGGCCAGAGATGCTGCTAAACACCCTATAATGCACAGGACAGCCCCTCCTAACAAAGAGGATCCAACCACAAATGTCAATAGTGCTGATGTGAAATATTTTTCTAGAGAAATAAAGATTACCTAACGCAAGTATTTACTGAGCACTTACTGATTTGTATCTAATGCAACACATGTAGAAACATGAAAATATAAATCTTTCATGCAAATTTTTTAATTTAAATTTTTAAAAAAATTTTAAAAAGCATATCTTCCATAGTGAGATAGTTTCAGGATATGGAGAGGGTATTGAGATTATGTTTCATCCTATATAAATTGGAATCACTGCCAAAGGATAAATGTTCTGAAAGAAAATCTTTTTTTCTTCTTCTTTTGCTTGTGTCTTTTTTTGTAGAAATCTTGGTTGCAATTTACTCACAGAAGTGAGCTTTGGAACATTTCAGGCCTGGCATGGAATGCAGTTTTTGCATAAGCTGTAAGTGAAATAGAAAATGAATACATGTAAAAAATAAGCAGACAAACAATATGTAAAAACATCAAACATTTATTGGTTCAGTGGATGTAACAAGCCCAGTATGAACTCTGAAAAGTATGTCTTAAAATCCATTCTTTTTTTTTTCAAATGAGGAAACTAAGGTACAAAGAGGCCAAGAGGCTTGTCTATCTCATAAATGGCACTCTCAGCTTTCCCTGTCCTCAGCTTTGGTATGAGCAATAAAAGGCCCCAAGCAAATAACACCCAAATCAACATTATCCTGGGAATCCATGACAATGATGCTTCACCAATAGGGGCATGGTCCTTGAAATTCCACCTTTGAATTTAACTTTGAAAATTCCTGCTAATGTGCAAAGTACCTAACTGCTTCAATGCGTGCAAAATAAAGCTTCAAAGAAGTAAGTGTAGGGGAATTCTCCAGGGAGCAAAAGTGTGGGTGCTTCCTCAGCCATCAGCTTCTTTTAAATGGTAAAGCAGAAAGAACTGCTGAGAACCTGCCACAGGGCACTTCTCTCACCAGTTACCCAGAACATTATTTTTCAAAAAATGTATACCTCTGAGTAAATCATCTGGGGGCCATAAGAACCTTTGAGGTATGGTAAAAGATATTGTTTGTGTTAAGTTGTGTGAAAAATGTTCATGAAATACATTGCTGTAGCATAATTCCATGTGGCTATTTCCTGAATCTTCTTCAATAAGAAGTGTGTCATTCCCTTTCGGCTGGAAAATTCTGTGATTTCCTGGTGATATAAACAAATCATAGTGGGGGATGTTCAATGGCCTGAGGGGGATTTTAGACTCAAGGTGAAGATCTTCCTCTAAACCTGACTTTGGAAAAGATTATCTTACCTGTCTTGTAGTTCAGAAATATTATTTCACACAGTTTATTTTAGGATAGATGAAGGTGTTGAGGGCATGTCTGGAGCTAGAGGGACAGTTCCTGCAGATGCCTATCTGTTGAAGGCTCCTCTCTCCTCCCATTAATTTGCTGATGCCTAACTTGGAAACAGAATACAGAGGGTCAGTTTTTTGCTTGCCAACACCCCGGAGAAAAGGCTCATTGGGTTTCTGCACCAAGAGGTTTTGGTGCATCAATATAGTGCCTTAAACTCACCATCTTTATTTCTAAGCATGCTCTCACACCAAGAGTCTATTAGAAGAATCTGAATTTCCAAAAAGAAAGAAAGAAAGAAAGAAAGAAGAAAGAAAAGAAAAGAAAGAAAAGAAAGAAAGAATCTGACTTTCATTATAGTTATATGGGCAACACAGGAAAGACTATGGAGGAATCAGTTGATAAAAATCAATGAATTCATTGAAAAACATTCAGTGAGTGCCATGTCCAATACATGTCAACACTGTACTAAGTACTGGGGGTACAAAGAATAAGACAGGGACTGTCCCCAAGAAACTTTCATACTGGAAGGAGAAAGATGTTGACGGGAAAACACACGGGAGCCGTACTGGCATCCATGCAGCAGGGTAACAAGGTAGGGGGTTGACAAAGTGGGGAACAGGTTGTGAGATAGAAAAGACTCTTAATGGATGAGGCAACAGCTTGTTTGTGTTGAGTTTCTGTGTGCATCTTAAATAACAGATAAAGGTAATTAAAGAACCAGAGCTAGCCAGTATTGATAATATATTAATACTCATGTCATGGGACTTGAATAGAGCTTCGAAAACTAATTCACAGTTCCTTCTGAAAGATTATCACAATACAGTAAGTGTGTACTGGGGGTTAGGCTCCTTTTTTGTTTGGGGCCAAATTTTTCTAATAGACAAAGCTAGTCTGCTTTAGGAAATCTCTGCCATAGTGAAATATAAACTTCATTGCATTTCTTTCCAAAGGCAAGTTGCCAAGGGAAGATGCCACCCTTTGAATTAGTCATGTTACCTGTGTGACATGTTACCAAGGTGTTTGTAAGTTGAAACAATATTTTCTCTGGCATTAAAGAAGTCTGTAAAATTTATAGGCCCTTGCTGAGGTGGATTTATTTTGAACTGACCAAAGCTTGAACTTCAGGGCACCTCACTTCCATAGGCTCCTTCCAAGGTCTTGAGAGGAGTCCTAGCAATTTTTATACTCATAATGTTGCATGTTTTTATTAGACAGGATTTCCCAAAGTAGATGAGGTTCAGGCCCCACAAGACCTTGATTCACCCTGGGTTTCAGGTAATTATAACTCAGTAAGCTTCTTGAATGAACCCTCTAAGTTATTGATAAATACCGAGTGAACAAGTTAGCAGTGTGGTAAAGTCTATTTTGAATCTGAAATCCACCTCAAAGACATGCCAAGAGCTTATTAATAAGGTACCACCTTTGGGGGTTTTTGTTTTATTTGGCTTTAATAAGGTACCACTTTTTGAATGGTAGTAATAATCATCTCTTTCAGATAAAATCAGGAATGAAATAGATTATGGAAAACCAGCAGTGGTTGATAATCCAAAATGTTAAGTATACTTTTTTCTTTTCTGACTTTAAAGTGCTTCTTCTTCATTCACCTACACAGGTCCAGACTGATGGATTGTTTTTAAAAATTCTTTTAGTCACTTCATTGGTTCTAACAATACAAGTTCCATGATTTTAGAAACTGAAGGACTCTACAATGTAGAAGGGCTATATCTTATGCAAGTAGAGTACATTGACATGCTGGCTTGTCTGTGGTACATCAGTGTTGTGCTAAGAACATAAGCACTAAGAGAGAATAAGGTGATTCTAAGCTTTGTCCCTATTGAATTATTTACCCCATTGGTATGAGAATACCAATGAGGCAGGTGTGGCCATACTACGAAGGCAAATTGAGCTGCAGTCACAGAGACACCCCAATGCTTCCCCAGTCATCCAGCATTGGTTTCCTTTAGATAGCTGTGTGCACACACAAGTTTATACACTTCAGGGTATTGTCATCACTTTTTGGTATGTACTGAAAATCCTGGCAGCTTCTTCTTCAGATTCAGAAAGGCATAAACATTAAGGGTGAAAATAATAACTTGGTCTGTCCTTTGGGAGGACTCAGGGTGGCTGTTTTATTATTTTCTATTTGTAATAGTTCAAAAGGTTTGAGACAGTCATACCCAGCAACCACTATACTTTCCTTCTCCCAACTGCATCTTATTCTTCCCATGCATGTTATTAACGTATCTTCTTTCTCTCGGAACCATAGCAGTTCCTCTTCTGCCCCATAATATTTCTTTAATACCTACCTCTATTAGGTGCTTACTGTGTTCCAGGCACTATACTAAGGACTTTTATGTATTGTACAAGCAAGATAGTGTGACCAAAACTCTTGGATAGTGCCTGGCACATGGAAAATACTCAATACATGCTCCCTGACACTGTATCTCATTTTCGTTTTTCCAACAGCTCTTGTGATGTAGATATTGTTATCCCCACTTTGGGGACAAGGAAATTGAAACACAGAGACATTGGGTAACTTGCCTAGGTTCACATTGTTGATAAGTGGCAAAACCACTTACAAGATTTGCAAGTAATAGAGCTCTGCTTTCCCTTGTACTAGGAGCTGAATGATGACTATTTGGCTTTTGGTGCATTGTCCCTTGGAGTTGGTTTCTAACTGGAATAAGAGCTTTAGAGCAGAGAACTCCTTTTCCCTATGACAATCCCATGCTTCTGGAGCACCTGGCCATGCCACCTATGGGTATCCCCAGGCTTTCTGCTCACTGCCCCAGGGCAAATGTAACACCATTACTACTAGGCACCTACTCTATGCTCAGCCTAATGCAAGATGCTTTGCATATGGTCTTTCATTTAATCCTCAAATCGCCTTATGAGGTAAATGGTACTAAGTAAGACTCAGAGATGTTTGTTATTCAAGTCACTTCACCAGGAAGTGACAGCCAGAATTCAAGCCTAGGTCTGCCTGGTTCCAAGAGCCCTTGCTGCTTCTGCTGTTCCTCACTGCCAGGAACTCTTCTTTAAAACTATTCTCAGAACTTTGATTAAGATATAGGCTTACCATTTCAGATTCTTTAGATTTGGCCCCTCCCCTACCCCTGAGAAAGGATTTATGTGATAAAGTTAGTTAGAAGTCTTGTATTGAGGAGCTTCACGTGGGGAGTCCAATTCTCGTGGCTCATGGACATATGTAGATGAATAAAAGAAAGGGGTTACTCCATCCCCAAGTACTTCAAACATACTGGAACAGGGTCTAGGTCACTCTACTTATTTCTTTGACTGTCTTCTTTCCAGGAGCCAGTTTTCCCTGCCTTTCTTGGGATTCTAGGATAGATAGTTTGGGGTTTGTCCTATTTTAAATTTATTTTCACTGCCTACTTTGGATAGTTTTTCAGCTAAAGCTGTTAGGATTTCAGTACATTCAGGACAGTGAAGACCTGCTTCAGTCCTCAATTCTTCTGTCTCCTTAGTTAATAGAAAGGAAACATAGTCCATCTGTCTGGACCCATATAGAAGAATTTGGAGAAAAAAAATAAAAACAGGTAAGACGTGTTCCCTTATATTGTGAGCTACCTTTAATCCGTCTCATTGTTCTACAGCAAAAAGCTTTTGCAAAAATGCTTGAGTTTTCCTCTTCAAATAAGGTATAGTTTTCAAAAAAAATCATTTAGAATAATATCTCTTCAACTTTGATGACAAGACAGCTTTTAAAGCTAATAAAAACTATTGTTTTATTTTACTTCCATAAAGATAACCCTGTGAATGTCAAAAAGCCAGTGGACTAGGGGTCAGCACATTTTTATCTGCAAAAATGAAGGAATTGAACTGAAAGGAAAATGGTCTCTAGTGTGATGTCCTCAGTGAATCTAAACCACTCATATTGTGGTTTGTAGAAAAGCAGTTGCTATGGAGTACTCCATCTGTAAACTTTTGGGTCAGTTCTCATTCTGTCCTTCCTCCAGGCACAGCCTTCATGAGGAAAAGATAGCACTAAAGACAGGAGGAGGAACAAGGATAATTTAGAATGGCCCCATATTTTGTTTTCACTAGTGATAAATGCAGGATG